GGATGGGAAGGATGTCCAGGATCGCGGCCAGAGTAATTCGACTTGGTCTTGGTTGTTGTTAAGACAGTGACGAAGCCAGATGCCCCAAACGAGATAAAAGTATGCACCAATACCGGTCATGAGATGCCTGATGACCATCGTTAGTGTATGTATGGCAATTCAAGGGGAATATTGGGGAAGCTTACCACCAGCCATGACCTTCTAGCAATATACCCCACGGAAGGCCAATGTCGCGCCTCCATTGTCGCAATTGATTACAGAATATATTATCGATATTCCAAAGCGCAAAGCCGCCTAGAAAGCTAGAAAGGCCAAACGCTATCATGGTCCACATGGTCTTTAAAATCTTAATATCGCGATCATCGCATCGCTTCAACTCCTCAATCTCTTCTTTTGACAAATTCTTCTTGAGCCCATTTGCGTCCTCATGCGCCGTATCTGCGTGGCCATTACTGAAACCGCTAAGTAAGCGTAGTTCCCGCTCTTTTGCTTTCCACTGTGGTCGCAATCCAGATTCCATGACGTACACGCTACGAAAGACGACAATGGCGGTTAGGATCCCATAGGCGTTTTGGTGGAAGACGGGGTCTTGCAGGTAGTGGTAGTAGCCGGTAATGAATAGCGCGAGGGAGGCAAGAGATATGGAGAGGAGGAAGGAGAATATAAAGGAGCGACCGCGGGCGAAGGATGCGTAGAACATTATGCATGTTGTATATATCATTGATAGTTCATCAACGAGTTGCATGGGGTCTGTAGAATGTGGTTAGTTATCCGGAGCGATCAATATGAAGAGCGTTACTCACATTTCAGTGTCGAGTGAAAAGCAAAGCTTCCGCAGCCAACTACGAGGTAGCCAAAGAATGAGACTAAAAAGACAGTAGGATGTTGATTCCGGAGACAATTTGATATGCCTCGGTAGGCTAGATACATGAACATGAAGTTGGTGATTGTGTTGACGATCTCGGCGGAGTATTTGGTGGCATAGTAATCTTCTTCACACCAATTTAATGTAGCTGTCACCGGTTCCTGAAGGCAAGTTAGCTGTGCGCCGAGTGATTATGCGGTACTCTGTACTTACCCAGTAGCCCACCTTGGGAGCCGGGTATGGGATTGAGAGGCGCATCGTGGGTAAGAACGTGTCGGATCGGGTAGAGAAGGATTAAGTAGTAGAAGCAAGTGAAGGGTCGAGTTATGTATTCAGAGAAGCGGGACGAGTCTAGGTAGAAAGACTAGGCATTATTAAAGAGCAGAACCAGGCTGATCAGTGGAGGAGAGGAAATGAAGATAATTTCGATGTTGAGATAGCTTTCAGGAACTGCAGGAGGAGGGATAGCTTCTTGAAGGTTGGGAGCTAAAAAGTGGAGAAAGCGGCATGTATGAACCTTAATCAGGTCTAGTGCGGGAGCATGGAAAGCGCGTGGAAAAAATGACGACAGCTCTGAGCTCGTGTTGAGTCTGTTGATGCTTCAGGGAGTCGCGATACTCGTTAACCTTGCGACTACATGTAAACAAAGAGTAAGCAGAGAGATTGTGGCAGGAACAACCTTCGTCTCTTGTAGCTGATGATGTTTATCTTGAAGGCGCGCATCGACCAAACATCAGGAGGTTATTTCGCAGTCAGTTCTGTCGGCCTGTCGCGGCATGTAACCTATCAATCCACGGCCAGTAGTTGGAGCGCGTGGGAGCCCACTGAAACAAGTTTGGCACATGTCTTTTGACAGGCATAACAAGTCCATATCAGTGCTGAGTAATAAGAGACCTCGGACTGTAAGTTGCCTCTTGCTCAACCTTTATACAACCCCTACCTCCCCATAACCAGGTCAACCTGTATAGCATAGCTACCTATCTCTCCTGGAAAGGCACGAATTATTCCGTTGATTGGAAGAGCATCGATGAATGGCTCACGGGCGGACTAATATCGTTTGCGAGACTTCCACAAGGATCGATTAGATTAGATGGACCCCCTATTCTCCTTTACTCCTGATGATTTTATATGCTGCTTCAGTCTATTGTATATAAACAAGTCCATTTTGGCTGACTATATTGTACACTCTGTTTCTTGGCTACCATATCAGTCGGCTCTATAGTTCGAAGCTCATTGACGCCGTCTGCTCATACTGCAGCTGCACAAGCAAATCTTGCGCTACAAAGTATACTCCATCCGCCGCAAACTCTTTTGCTCATTGACTTTCAATGCTATCTGGGCCAATAAGAGCCCCGCGGGATCCCATCAATTGGATCATGTAAATACGGCTATGCTCAGCAGCACCTTCAAGAGCCCTTCGACCCCCGATTGCCGCACCAGGTGCATTGATGGCTGCTCCGACACTAAGAAGTAGCCGTGCCTCTTCGATAGAGCAGTGTATTGCGGCGAGCTGAAGCGCAGTTACACCTTTTCGTGCTGCTGCAGGCGAGTTGACCAAAGCTCCAAGATTAAGCAGCTTTTGGACGAGTTCAATGTCACCTTCTTCCACTGCAGCTTGAACTGAAGGCCTTGAATATCTACCTGTCGCAGTCGTGTCAGCATTTGCTACAAGCGAAAGAAACAGTGCACAGCCGGTAGATTGCGACACTGTATGTCCAATCTTGAGCTGGATCGGTCCGCCATGAACTTGTTTCTCACTATCGCTGGAAGAGGCTAGGCAAGGCCAAAATCTAGCGAGAAAGCAAGATCTCGACTAGTAGACAAGATTCTGGCAATAATACGAGAGTCTGGATGCACAGGACAGCTCGTATGCATGCTGAGCTCCAACTGACGTGAGTTACACTATGGAGCTCGCTCAGTGGACGAGATTTTGTCAAGGCAGGTAAAGGGAGACTTCAAATTGCTCCAGCCTGAAAGATTTGGTTCTAACACTGGTAACCAGCAACGTCATGCTCTTGAAACCTGTACCAGGCGATTGAGCTATTCAACCAACAACCGAATGGCTCTTACGTCTCAAGAACGCATCTACGAAACTTTTGCGCTTAGAAACAGACATTACACCGCCATTTCTATCCGAAGCTTCCGATTCTGAATCATGATCCTGTTGTGAGATAGCAGTTGCCCGTCTTACAACTCGTATTCGCTGCTTTCGATTCTCCAAACGCCGTCTGATAACTTGACGCTTCGTTATGGCGATCCAGAGCAAGAAAATCAAGGCAGTAAATGGCAGTGTGAAAGCCCAATAGATCCAAAAGTTACGTCGAATGACTCCAGGTTCCGTCCATTGAAGCAGTGGTAACGCAAACAGTGCGGCGAAGAAAGTACCAGGTAAAAACGCCATGGTCATGACTGCAACGGTTTTCATGGATGAGCTGTCGTGTTTGGACGAGATGGCGAGGGTCTTGGAGTCCTTTGCGAGCTCTATATTTGCATTTGCGTCCTCCTTTGCGATGAGGTTGAATAGCTGGCAGCATATCAGCATATCAGCAGTTACGCAAATATTGTACGATCATACACTTACCACTGAGAGTTGTGTCTTTGTCCTTTGCTGGAGAGACTCTGTAAATGCCATGCCCGTAGTAACTGAAGAATGGATAACGCATGTGGCTTCATGTAAGACTTCAAAATTCTCTAGCAACTCTGCCCAGCGCTGCTTTCCCAGTGTGTCTTGCCATTTCTCCGAAGGCTGTTCGCAAAGCGCACTGATGATGCTTCGCATCAGTTCCCAATATCTAAGATGCAGTGAAATCACCACTGCCGTTGCACTCATAATATTCGACAAGATAGCCAGATTCGTCCGTCTGTGAGGCTGCTCATGGGCACTCCAAGACGAATGACTCGTTTTGGACTCAACATTTAGGAGACTAGCAAAAACCTCATCGTTTATTTCTCTATCGATCTGCTTCATCAAATCGATTCCGCACACGAATCCCACCAGTAGTGGCTGGTCAATTAACGTTTTTTGTAGCCTTAATTCGCCCAAGAAGCTCTCGTATCTTAATGTGCCTGGCCTGCATATGAATAGCGCGTTTGTGATAGCGTCGGCAGGAGAATAACTCCAACATACGAGATGGGAACCTCGGATATTGATGTAGAAATTGACGGGAGAAGCCACATCAGTTCTCTCCAAAGGGCCGATACGGTGAAATCCATCTACTCTAGCACTAATGAGGTAGAGCAAATATGGATCGAGTCGAAATTCTCTGAAGATGTCCCAGAAGACATCCTTATCGATCAAAAGAGCCTCATCCGGTCGTCGTTTGATGATGAGAAGACGCAGCTGTGCCGTAAGCGTGGCATTGGAAGGTGATCTGCTGCGTATCACGTCCAGGATTTTATCTTCGGGTACAGCGTTCTCGGTGATTCCAAACTCGCCATCTTCTGCTTTGCTGATTTGCAGGAGCTCGTAGGTATCTTTGGGTGGTCTGAAAATTTGGTGCGCGTCGAAGGATTCTCGAGCCCCTTTTCGCAGACCGTCCATAAGCAACGTCGAAAATCAAAGATTCGATGCTTTCAATCGCCCTTTGATGTAATGCAAGGGCGTGAACATGAAGTTCAACTGTCCGGAATAGGTCGTTCGTATTTGATGGAGGATGTTTATCTTTTCAATAAATGTACAGAGGACGATGGGAGAGACCCTGGGAGGAGTTGATGTCTCAGGCTCAGATGCGAGTCATTCCCCTACAACGTCGTAGCTCTTTCTTTGCCAGCCACCATCTTCAATGCCACTGTACAATTTTACCTCCGTCCGAGAAAAATCAGACGATGATACAAACTTTGAGTGTTGAGAATGTGGTCTCGCAATTCGCCCTAAATCAAGCTCCACCACTCAAGATTCAGAAAGCTTCTCTGATGTAAGGTTGATGCAATGATGATATGTACATACAAAAAATAAGAATTTGCACAGAAAGAGACCATATTTTATTCAGAATATGATGTGTACGTATTACTAAATTAAAGCTTGCTTGATAGATCTTGATTGTTGCGACTTCCATCGGGATAATGACAGATATGAAAAGAGAAAAGAAGATGTGTTATATATTCGCTACCAAGCAAATTTTCAATTGAACTTCTCGCTTCTATAGCTCAGTTGGGAGAGCGCAGCACTGAAGTTCTTTTGAATACCTGGGGTGACATGCTGAGGTCACCCGTTCAATCCGGGTTGGAAGCAACAATTTTTTTGGTGCCTACTACTAGTGAGCAGGCACGACTTCCGTACCTATCCCTAAGACTAGACATCCCCGCTAGGGGATGCCCGCTAGCTTACCCGCTAGCTAGTTTACTCGCTAGAATGCTAAGAGAAATATAGGTACTTAAATTTCTACTACTACACTACTAAAAGTAAAGTATTTATATTTTTAATTAAATATATTACTTAAAATACTTATTAGGTATAATTAGATCTTTAGAATTTTTATCTTATAATAGTATTAGTATTATAGGATCCTTAACTTTAATCTATTCTTTAGCGGCCTTCTTTTTAGCTTTCCTTGCTTTTTAATAACGTTAAGTAAGATCCTCTTTATCTTATCTCTTTATAACTGCTTCTTAAAGAGATCTAACTAGTATAATATAAGGCTTACTAACGAGCTTGTTTATAGACTTCTTAGATTACTTTATCTTAGCTTTTTTAGTATAAGCTACTATTATATCTTTAATCTACTTTCTTAGGATTTAATATTAAGTAAAGATAATATTTAACGCTTTTATATACTTCTAAAAAGCTTTAAAAGGCTTATAGATTTATGTAGTTATTTCTTATTAAATTAAATTAACTTCTTGCTTTATTTTTAGTATTAAAAGTGTCTTAAAGTAGGCTTTATTAAGCTCTAGCTATTCTTTCTCTTTAGATGTCTATTCTTCTATTAAATTATCTAAAACTATAGATAAATTAAAAGGCTAGATTCTAGACTCTTTCTAGTATTAGAGATTAGGGTTATAGAGTAGGTAAGTGTAACGAGCTATAGAACTTAGGCAAGTAGATAATTAGATTATATTCTAGAATCTATAAATAAAAGAGAGAGAAGAAGATCTAGAAGAGCTATAGATCTATAAGGAAAGTAAGTCTACTTAGTAGATCCTTAGGCGTACTAACCCCCTTAGGTCTAGCACGTAATCTTATAATAAGATCTCTCTTATAATACTACTATAAAGCCTATAAAGAGGAATTATTATATAACTCCTCTCTTTAGTATAGCTCTCTAAGCTATAGACTATTAATTATATCTACTTTCCTAATCTATTCTATTCTAATTTAGTTTAGTCTAGTCTAGTCTAGTCTAGTCTAGTCTAGTTTAATAAACTTTTAGTAATAAATAATATTTTAATCCTTCTATAGTATAATACTAATTATATTAGTTATTTAGAATATCTTAACCTCTAGCCTACTAAAGTAACTATTAAGAAGTATTAATAAACCCTAAGATATTTTTAGAATACTCTAGTTCTTAAGTCCTAGTAGTTTAGTAGTTAGTAATCTTATTAATATAAAGGAATTAGTAGTATAATTATTTACTCCTCCTAATTAGTAAGAACGTTATTAGAGTTATAATTAATACTATTGCTAATAGGCTCTAGTATTAGTAGTATCTAGGTAGAATATAGGCTTAGCTTATTAAGATATTAGGTATAAAACTTAGTAATAAGCTTTAGTATATTCTTAGTAGCTATCTAATTATATTATTTAGCTTTGTTATAACTAGTATACTTAATCTCGTATTATAGCTTCTTATATTAATTAATAAAGTAGCTATTAATAATAGTATTAATAGACTATTTATTATTATTTATAGTTTCTCTAATAACTACTAGTAGTAGATTAGCATACTTAAGTAGCTTAGTATTATTTATAATATAATAAAGGATCTAGGTATAAAAGATATTATATATTTTTATAGAAGAGAGAAGATTAAGTTTATAGGTAATAGTATTAATCTTCTTAATTATATAGAAGGAGCTTATATTCTTATCGTTTAGAGTCTTTAAAGAATATAAAGTAGGGTAGTTCTATATATCTAAGCAAACCTAGTTACTTAGTACTAGGTCTAGGGCTATATAGTAATAGTAGTTAGTATATTTTACTTATTAAGCTTATACCTAGATTAATTACTCTATTAAGTAATTATATATCTTAGTATAACTTATTTATATTATATTTATATTAATAACTTCTTTATTAGCTATTATAGAGGCGTTTATAGGTTTTAAGAGACAATATAAGGACTTAAGACTTAATTAAGAGTTAAATCTATTTTAAGCTTTAAAAAGTATAACTTCTATAGTAGTATTTATAATAGAATTAACTATAAATTTAGTAAAGAGTAGAAGGGCTACCTAGTTATTTTAATCCTAGTTAATAAACGTATATAAAAATTACTTAAGTATAGTAACTAAGATTTCTATTATACTATTAGTCTTAGGGTAAAATACTATACTAAGATAAAGTATAATACCTATACGTTTATATAAGCGCTTCTAGAATATAGAAGTAAATTAGCTACTATAGTCTAAAAGAATTATTAATAGCTAGCTAATAAGCTTCTATATATAGTTAATAAAGGCTAATACTATTAAGTCTATAGATAGGTCTAGTAGTAAAATAAAACGCTAAGTTTATATATATTAGTTAATAACTATTATAATATATTAGTAGATTATACCTTAGTATAAATAGTAAAGTAGTAAGATAGTAAAGTTAATAGAGATATCTAACTATATATACTTAAAGAAAAAGAATTAATATAGGAAGCCTTACTTCTTTTAGTAAATAAGTTTAGTAAATACGTATTTATAGCCTTTAATAAAGCTCTTAACGTTCTATAATATCTTAAGCTACTAGTAATCTTCTTATAAATAGTAGTAAGTTATTACTACTTTACTATAGCTTATAGCTTTATAGCTATATATACTCTATATAGCGTAATACTAAAGTTTACTTTAAAGAATAAAGATCTAGTTATAGTAAAAGATTATCTTATTAGTAGCTACTATATAGTCTCTAAGCTTAATCTATTCTTATTCTAGAGTACTAAAGAGTAAAAAGAGCTAGTAGTTAGTCTTAGCATAGTAAATAGTAATTATTATTTTATTATATTTTATTATATTTATAATATCCTATAGGAACTAGTTACTATTAAAATTTAGGAATAAGTTATCTCCTAAGGAATTAAGTAGCTTACCCTTAGGCGTCTTATTATTACTAAGAGACTCTTTTATAGAATTAAGTAGCTTACTTATAGAATTAGAAATATCTAACTTATTTTAAGTAATAGTAGCTAAGTATAGTATTAAAAAGTAGGTAGGCTTAATAAGTAATATAGCTAGCTTTATTATATATTTTATATTAAATTAGTATAGGAATAATAAAGATTAAACTTATTAAAAGATATAAGAGTTATTATTACTTTATAAAATATCTTATAACTAATAGGTAAGGATATTTACCTTTCTATTAGCTATACTTAAGTAGTACTTTATTTTAAAGTAAAACTAGAAAAGGAACTTAGCCTATTTAGCTTATTATTAAGAAAGATATTTTATTATTATAAATATCTAAAGGTTATAGTAATCTAAGAATACTTAAATAGAGTTAATAAAGCTAAATAGCTTTAGTTTCTACTCTTTAAATACGTAAATAATAACTAGAAGCTTTTTATTATAAATATTATAATTATACTCTACTAAAGTTATTTTTTTTAAGAAGTACGTAACTAAGTAAAGTTTTCTATTATTACCTTTTTAAGAGAAGACTATAGCGTAAATCTAATTTAAGGTATCTATCTCTAGCTATATTTCTTTTATATAGTTAAAATAATATAATATCTTAGTAAATATAAAGTCTTACTTTAGCTTCTTAAATATATATTCTTTTAGCTTATTAGAGTCCTAAAGAAAGATTACTATAGCGTTCTTCTTTATAAGTATTATTAGCAGTATTATAGTTTTTAAATATTTAAGAATAAATTAACGATAGAAGTTAATAAAGTTAAGAAAAGCTTAAACGTTTTTTACTAAAGAAGAACGTTACTAGTTAACTACGCTTTAAATCTTCTTTAAGTCTATCTTAATACTTTTAGTAGTAATAATTAAGCTAAGGTATTTAACTTATTAAGTATTAAATTTATACTTCTAAATATCTAAGTATAATTCTACTTTACTTATTACTTTTAGGACTAGGTAAATATAGGTAGTATAGCTAGCTTTAGTATTACTAAAGACTAATAGATTATCTATATAGTCTATAATAAAGTTGTCTAGATAATTAATTAAGATATAGTTAAAATAAGCTTAGAAGGTCCTTAGGGCTTTAGTAAAGCTAAAAGGTATAACTTTAAATTTATATAATCTATAATAAGTTAAAAATATAGTTTTATATTTATTACTAGGTTTAATATAAATATATATAAAGGTAGTAATAACGTTAAATTTAGAGAAGTATTTTACGTAATAGATATAAATAAGTATTTCTAGTAGCTATAGAGAGACGTTATAATTTTTTTATATAATCTTATTAAGTTTATAATAATTAATATAAACTTAAATTCCTCTTCTTAGCTTATATATATATATAGTATTAGTATAGCGTAGTATAACTTACTAGCTTAAACTTAATTTTAACTAAGTATTTAATTAATATATTATTTAACGATAAGAGATTCTTAGTAACCTAGGCTATTATAGTAATATTTAGGAATTATAGCGTCTAAGATAATATTAATAGAGTAATTCTATTTACTATAGTATAGTATAAGTTTATTATCTAATTTTAAGTTAAAGATATCTATATAATAGTAATATTTCTTTAGTAAGCGTTTAAGAATTTCTTTTTATAAGAAGAAAAGCTTATTATACTTCTTTTGCTATTTTTTAAAATTCTTAAGTAAGATTTTACCTAAGTTAATAGTAATATCTTCTTTTAGCATAGGATTTAGATTTAGAGGTTTCTTTTCCTTTTTATCTTTAAAGTCGTTAGGCTAGATTTTGCTAAATTGCTAGCCTTATTCTAGTAACTTAATAAAGATAGTAACGCTAACTATAGTAACGTTTTTAAAGTAAGAGTCTATTAAATTAACTAAGTAGCCCTTATAATCTACTAAGATTAGGTAGCCTATTAGTAAGTAGTATATAAAGTAATAGTCTAAGTTAAAGTAGATCTACTTCTTATCTCCTTTA